CGCTGCTTCGAGCACAAATTTGTCGATCACCTTCCCGTTGAAATTTTCCATGGTCGAAATAAATTCCTGGTAAGTCTTGATTCTTTTCAATGTTGAGAAATTTCGCTCAGCCTCTGATGTTGACATAGGAGTTGTAACAATAATTTCTGATAGCTTTTTTGTTTCTTTTGTATTTCCTCCAAACTATTTTGTATAAAAAATTTCAAAAGAGACAGAGTTCCATATAAATCTCGGCAACCATTACGTGCATAAATAACAGACAACTCTGTCTTTAAACGACTTTTTCTAATTCGGGATAAGCCAAGCAGGTAGTTTCCAACTTGTCATCAGGAAACTTACCACAGTATTCTCCAAAGTGTTTGGGGAAAAAAGGGATGCGGCTACCAAATGATCTTTGAATTGAAATCTGTCATTTGCAGAATTCACTATATTGTCGCATACTTCTAATGTGGCAACTCGGTGATCGTGACTGCTATTATTACGTCGTCTCCTTTTGTTGCGTTGGGGTTCTGTGCAAATACTTTTGGCTTCATTTTTATGTCATCAATTCTATTTCTCACATCGACAATACATTTATCAAAATTATCGATAGCCGTTTTAACTTGCGCTGGCTCGGTTTTTCTCTTCTGCAACTGGTTGAACAAGATGTCCACGTGAGGCATGACATGATGAAAAAATGTCAACCAAAACACGAAAACAGAATACCGCAAGCTGCCTTGCAACGGGTTCATTTGTGAAATATTCTTCTATTTCTTCCATGCATTCAATGAGTGACTATCTGTTCCCAAACACTACATTTATTGTTCGAATATTAAAATTCCAACGAGTTGTTGCTCTTCGTGGAATTTTTTTCCCACAATTCTGTTCAGTACCTCTACGCGTTGAGGAGAATTATTAAAAAATCCCGGAATATCTTTCAAATTCCGAAAGAACACCCGAACTTGAGCTTTTGGGTAAGCAGCTTGGGACATAACCAGGTTTAACTGATACCCATAGCAATGCACATAGTGAGCAAATGGATATCTTTGTTTAATTTTTGCCTTTACTCCAGCATTTTGTCCGCTCATTACCGCGGCTCCGTCATAGCTTTGTGAAATCAGTTTGTTAGGGAAATTTCCTATTAATGGATCTACGACGCTCAAAATAGTCTTATGAGAGTATCAGCGTCAGATTTTTCGGGATTCATATAATTCCAAAAAGGTTCTACTTGCCGTTAAATACGTATCTGAAAAATTGTTACCAGTTGGGTTTTCCCCGAAATGTCCGTTGTTTCATCTGCTATTATCGCCAAATACCAGGCTCTGGTAATCTGTTTTATTATTTTTTTACGACAAACTTCAAGAATACAATCCAGTAGATCGTTTTGTATTTCTTTCGAAGTTCTTTTAAATATTGAAGCATTTTTTATGTGTTCGCTTAAGGTTGTATCAAGCTCAGTAGAAAAGTTAATCAGTCCACGAAATATTCCCGGGTTTGGGAGCTCTCGGTTTTTATTTTATTCAATCGATTATTTTTGATAGAACGTACCTGTTTTTTGTAACGGTATCATTATGCTGTTGTATATTTTTCCAATATGCTGAATCTAACTGAGCTCTGATGTTAAAAGTCCCCAATAAAGTCAATTCCATCGAATTATGAAGATGTGCTTTAGAGTTTTCATGCTTCTTAATTTTTTCACTCAGGTGCACTAAATCTGTAACACCTACCTCCGTCCAAGCTTTGTCATCCCCGAAAAGTATGCAAGGAAAGCAGAAAAGGGCATTCTTCCTATTGCACCCACAAATCTTGTAAATCTCCCTGCTGAAATTCCGCGTATAGCCCTTGCCCCAACTAACGCCCTGTGTTTCTATAAATATGTTCGGCAGCGGTCGACCTGACACGTTCAGCTCAATTTTTTCTTCAAATGTGTATTTCCAGAATCGTTTCACGCTGATAAGTCTGTAAACCACATCCATTGTCTTGCACTACCCTTCTACACAGCCACACAGTCGGTGAGTCACTAGTCACTCAACGTAACGTAAGATCCAAAATACCCGAATAAAAAAATTTTCGCATTCAAATTTTAAGCCACGTCACGCGACAAGACCAATACGCCAATACCGAGGACCGAGCACCGACCGACCAATCAGATATCGGACTTCGCATTAGATCTGTACGGATCTGCATAAATTGCAACACATGCTTATGCTTAAATCGCGCATTTGA